TGATTCCCCCGAGGCCGCGAATATTCCACTAAATGGGCCATGATTGGCAACGATAAAGATACCGAAATCCACAGGCAAGGGTACCTATGGACTAGAAGGTTAGAAAAGTCAACATGCTGTGGCAAAGGAAAACATTCAAGTAGCGAGGAATGATGCGTTTGAAGAAAGGGAGTTGTGCAGATGGAGAAGAGGAAAGAGAAGGAACAAGGGTGGATCAGTGTCCATTGATGGTTTGGTCTCTGCAATATATTCAGAGATTGCTTCAAGTGTTTGGGAGTTCAGAGACATGGGTAGGGGAGACAATTCTGCAGACGAAAGGGGAGGATTTTGAGTAAAGTTCGGAGCTGTAATGGACTATACCTAGGTAGGAGGGGGGGCCGAAAGGTGGAGGAAACTGGAGAAGTGTGGGAGGGGACAGAAGAGGCAGAAAACAGGGGAGGTAGCAGAAAGGAAGAAACTTGGGAGGGAACAGGGGAGGAAGGCACAGTACGAGGAGGAGGATGAACCCCACACTTGTAACAGAGCCAGTGAAAGGGAAGACCTAGGTTCAGAGACCGGGAATGTAAAATGTGGAGGTGGATAAAGGGGAAGGAGGGATTAAAGGAAGATTTGTTGGACCTCTGAGAAGTAGAGGGACGATTGGAGGTGGTGTCGTATGAGGTCTTCGATACCGGGGTTTGTGGGGGAGAACACGAAGAAGTGAGGACAGACTGAGGGGTTGAAGCAGGGACGTCTGACCCCAGGACAGAAAAAGAATTATATACAGGAGTGACTATGGACGGGCCCAACCGCAGAGGAGGCTGCAGAAGATGGGACCCCAGAAGTGGGGGGACGTTTTGAAAACACGAGAATAAGAAACACCGGGGAGTCTCCTTGGGGGTGGAGATGAAAAAACTGCCATAGCATAAGGGAGACCTTCTGCCTCTGAGGAAAAACAAATTTTCCCCGCTCATTTAAGTAGGCCTGGCAACGGTGAGAGTAAGAAGGGTGAGCCTCATGAAAATTTAAAAGGCAAGAGGGAGGTCGACTGCAAGATGTATTAGAATGGTCCCTTGGCACCACAGACTGGGCATTCAGCTATAGATCTGCAATATTTTGCAGGGTGGCCAAATCGCCAGCAATTCCTAAACTGTTGTGGTGTAGGGATCACCTTCTGAACTTGTAACCGATATCCTGCTACATAAACAGAGGATGGGAGTTCTGGCTGTCAAAAAAATAAACGAGCCACATTGCAAGGTTTTGGGTCTTCGCCGCCGGCCGGAAGAACGTAAGTGTCTACCTTGAGAATTGGGAGATCTTGGGAGTTCCAGCTGTTCGAGAATGTCACTGCCACATGTCGGAAATTCTGTTGGACTATGGTATGGGCAGAAAAAACAGTACCACTACAAGAATTGGGGGAATGATGTTTTTCGATAGTGATGGGAAAATAGTATCGATATGTGAAAAAAGAGAAAGATCATGAGCTTGGGTAGAATTCTGGACTGTAAATGATGCACGAAACCACTCTTAAGAGCATGAAAGGAAGTATCTCTACCAACGTGATGTAGGAGCGCTTTGCCAATACTATGGTCAGAAAAGTTTGGGCAGTAGAAGTCGGCATAAAGTAAAGAATTTAGCCATTTTGTGGTCCGAAATCGAGTGTGAAGAGGGAGTGCATGACGTGTCTGTCTTTTCCGAGTAGAATGGGAAGGTAACAAAGTAACATCTGGAGATTTTTTTTTGGCGTTTAGAAGGGGGATCCGAGTCGGTCCGACGTGAGACGGGCTGGCGATTCGAAAATAGTCGCATCCATAGAGAGAGGCAGGAAGCATAGCCCAAAGGAGGTTGGAGGTCAGACAAATCGAAGGAGTCAGTGGAAGCCCCGGTACCTGAAGCGGATGAGAAACAGCACCAGGAAAAGGTACAGGGGCCTTGGGATGTCCAGAGAGGGGCCCAAAAAGACGAGGAGAGGTCAGAACAGGGTGGGGAAACCCAAAAGGGGCCCGGGGGTAGCTGGGTCATGGATCTGGGACTCCATGGTTAGGTTACTTCTTTTTTTCTTAAAAACAAAAAAAGAAAATAAAAAAAAAGAAAAAAAAAAGGGGGGACCAGGGAGGGATAGTTCCTAGGAGGAATGAAAGGGGCCCAAAAACTCCCTCCGCGCCCAAGAGGACCTCAGCCCGCAAGTAGCGTAGATCACATGGGAAACCCCTGCCATACCCTAAACCCTCATGCCAGTAAACCAGCAATCCAGTAGCACCTCACATCTGCCGAGCTACCTCGGTGGACAAAAGAGGGCGGCCGAATACCACCTCAAAGCATACCTCCTTCAGCCACCACCCCCCGGGAAACCGATAGGTGGCTTCCAGAGATACACCCGTCGCCCCGAAAACCCCAAAGCCACCCCTCCAGGATACCGGGATCGGAGAGGGATCGGGACATTCCCAGGCGATTCAGATCCCACGGCAAACTACGCCACAGCCACTGCCAAGAACCTCAATGGTATGGGATGGGCCCCAGTACCCTTCCCCCTACCTATGAACTAGTGTGCCTGTGAGAAAAACTACCAAAGGCCAAAAAAGAGGGAAGACAAAAGGGAGGGTGGGGAGGAGGAAAGGAAAAAGGGGAGGATGGAAGGGGAAGGGGATATTGGGGTAATTAGGTTCGGTCGAGGAAGGAGACCGACACGTCCTAATTCCCTCAGACCCAGAGCCCGCTTCACCACGCGAAGGAGCCCCCCCCTTATAGAGGATATATTGGATAATATACCTCGTTGGAGTAATTTTATTGTACCAGTTGGCCAAGTGGCTTATGCAATGACCTGGCTTCAAGATTCACTCGCCATGGGTTCTTCCCCTCCCGCATTCACTGGGTGTTGTACAGTCGTGTTTTAACGAGTTTGAGTAAATATGCTTGCAGCATCCCCTGCCTTGTTTAGTTTAAAAAAACAGAACGGATATACAAGTTAATGTGTAACCACATTTGTTTCTATTATACAGCGCAGTGGGGGTGGGGGGGGGGGAGGCATGGAAGGTATTCAGGCTTAATTCAAACTAGAGCACAGATCGAATTCCCTAGATCAAGAGCCTTCCACCAGCGTCAAGGAACCTTCCTTGAGGGAGTTGTGTTTCTAGACAAGTAATATGCTAACTTATAATAAAGCCATAAGACAAGGCAAATGTATCTATTCAACAAGTTTAAAGAATCACTCGCCATATGGATAAAATGTATATTAAAACAAATTTGTATATGCTGAAATTACAGTTGGGATTAGGTAAGTTTTAAATAGGTTTTGAAAGTGTTGTCTTTAAAAAAAGAAAAGTCAAGAAAAATATAAACTACTAGTGTGGATATAAAAACAAATCACCAGGGAAAAAACTGTAAAAGTTAGCCAAATTTACTACACAAAAAAAAAAAATCCGAAGTGATTGGCAGTGTTGTACAGTTAACTGCAAGTTGACAAACTCTACTAGATGGCCAGACGAGTGTCAAAGCCACAGTCTACAAAAATTTAGTCCCAAAAAGTGACGTCCGTCTTTAGACCCACAAGCAGACATAATCCCCAAGGAAGTGTGTCAACAGTCGAGTGAGCTCGTCAGAGTAGCCTTCCGCTTGACATCTACTTGTTCATTTCGTGACGTCAGTATAGTTCACACCCAACAACTACATCGTTTGTGTCGCGAGCCCAGACGGACGACTTGCGTACCTGTGAGGGAAGGCAGCGATGCCCACCTGTGTACCTTGTGAGGGAAGGCAGCGATGTACCACCTGCGTACCTTGTGAAGGGAAGGCAGCGTCTCTTGCCAGTGTCGTTTAAAGCGAGAAGGTAATAAGGGTCATTGTGAGGCAAGGACAGGAGCGCATCGCGGGTCAGTCCACGACGTACACCTCAAACAATTCATTGTCTTTCCGTTGTCATCTGGGAAAAAGAAAGTAACGAGTGGTAACACAAGCGCTGACCGGATTATTCACTGCCTGAAAGATTATGCAACACTCAGGACAAAACTCGATGATAAAATTGTGAACAATTTAAACCAAGTACACAAAAATTATAAACTAGAATTGAATGCATCCAGTTAAGCTTAAAATCTACTACAATACTTAAAAGAATTCTTAAAGGGAACCCAAGAAAAATTTTTAAAATTTAGAATGTGCTTAAACAGAAATTACTCTGAATTCTAGGCAATAAGAAACATACAAGAACACAGAACGTAAAAATTAGGTACTGAACAAAAACTAGTACGTTCAAAACTCGCCAAAAGTACCACACCAGTGGACTGCCTGATAACGACCAAAGGTCGTTAGCTGCAGCCAGAAAACCATGACAAACGAGAGAAAACCCATGACATGAACGAGAAAAAAAAACCCCATGAAAATGAACGAGGAGAAGAAAACCCATGCATGAACGAGGGAGAAGAAAACCCATGACATGAACGAGAAGAAAACCCATGACATGAACGAGAAGAAAACCCATGACATGAACGAGGAGAAGAAAACCCGTGACATGAACGAGGAGAAGAAAACCCGTGACATGAACGAGAAAAAAACCCCGTGACATAAAACGAGAAGAAAAACCCTGACATGAACGAGGAGAAGAAAACCATGACATGAACGAGGAGAAGAAAACCCATGACATGAACGAGGAGAAGAAAACCCATGACATGAACGAGAAGAGGCCGTGGGTAAACAGTCGAGATGTGCTCTACAGTCAGCAGTATCCAACAAGTTGAAGGAGGTAGGATCGCCATCAAGAAAGTTATTGGAGAGGAATGTGTGTACGATACTTTTATGATTCCTTTTACTAGAGAAAATCTTTCATGATTATTTACTTCTAGGTCTCTGTTGCCTATTGTCATTATTATTTTTATAATCAAAAAGAAGCGCTAAGCCACAAGGGCTATACTGCGCTACAAGGGTAGGGAAGGAAGCGAGGGCATTGGGCGGCAGAAGGGAGGAGGGATGATGAGTAGGTTACAGAAAACAGCGGGGCAGGGGATAGTGCGGGGGTAGAGGGTAGCAAGAGATTGAGGTAGAAAGGGCTGAAGGTATCAGAGTTTGGGGAAGTCAGTCAGTTGTTGCCAAAAAGTCAATGAGAGTGTCTGGATGAAAGGAGGTTCCATCAGCGAGAAGGGAAGGTAAAGAGAGCAGCGGAGCGAAGACGACGACTGAGGTAAATTCAGCGTGCTCATTGATAAAGTGGGCAGTCCAACAGAATGTGGCGACTGATAATGGAGACTGGCAATTCTCACAGAGAGGAACAGGTCGCCTCTCCATGAGATCCATGAGTAAGACGAGTAGGCCAATGGAAGACGGGAGCGAGTAGTCCTCCCAACCTCGACACTGGTGACAAGAAGATGGCCAGTAACCTAACTCGGTAATAGATTGAAGTTGTTACCGACATAGATGACCAATGTTGTTGCCAACGGCCTGTGAAGGTGGGTAGCTAGTGGCAGAAAATGTCCAAAAATGGAATACCTCTATGAAACGGGTAGTCCATGTAAAACTCGGACCACGCAGCAGTGTGTGCCTGTTCAATTGCCCTAGCGTCAATCATGACCAGGGACCAAACAAAAAACAATATCTTATGCTTGGAAAACATGCAGCATAGCCAAAGTTGGATATGGAGAGCTAAGGGGTGAGTGTACTAATTTCTGTATAGCCCTGTAAAGCACTATGGGAGTCTGAGAACCACAAATATGAAATAGCATAGATTTGTAATACGGGTAAGTGCTGCAAGAATGCATACAAATTCAGCAGTATAAAAATCTAGCCGAAGATAGTATATGCTCTTACACTGTCTGGAAATCATGCTCGAATCCTATGCATCAGCGTAGAGAGACTTCGACCCCTCTGTGTAAACTGCTAATGGCATGAGAATGAGAGTGAGTGGAAGTGGTCAAGAAAAAGAGCGGGAAGCACCCGTAGACAGTTGGGCTTTCGAGCAAGGAAGAGAGAAAGAACAGACCGGGAACAGCTGGAACTCCCAGGGGGGTGGGAAAAGCGAGATGCTACATGAACATAGAAAGGTGGTAATTGAAGAGAAGACCAGAGTTAATGAAGACGAAGAGAGAAGGGACGGACCCAAACAGGGCGGTGACCAAATAAAGAAGTTACTAATATCAGGACCATTCTATAAAGGAAAGGATTGCGGAGATCATGAGAGCGTACTAGTAGCGAAGGCATGGGCATCACGGCGATCGGATTAAGGATGTAACGTACGCTTCTGCGAGCTCACCAGGGGAAGAGCGAAAAGCACCAAGGCTAACGTAATCCTTGTGATGAATGGTTAAGGCTAGAGAGTAGCAGAGAGGCACGCTGAATAGATTGGCCATCATAATCAAGTATCGATAAAATGAGGTGGAAGAGCAAAGAGAGTTCGACGATCAGCGCCCATGAAAGACGAGCAAGGGGTTTAAGAAGTTCAGTCCGCTGTTGACAAGTTGCCTTCGGAGAGGTAATGTAAAGTTTCCAGGATAACCTAAACGTCAAAGAGGATGCCAGAAACCTGACTATCACATTCAGGAATACGGGAGCCAAGTACAAAGGGAGAATCGGAGATCGAGCGTCCTAGAAAGTAATTTGGAGGGTTTTAGTGCTGGAAAATGGAAACCCATAGTTGGTTGGTCTATTTGGAAAACAAGGGGCGTAGACCGCATGCGGGAGAGAAACTTAATGAAAGTGCAGTCAGCGCCTGGCAGGCAATAGCGAATGAATTCAACAACAGAGTGATGACCAAATATTGATGGAAAGACTAGAAGGCCACATCATTATAGCAAGGAGAAGTGGTGTGCTCAGAACACTCCCTGGGGGACACCTCCACCTGGATAAAGTCTGGGAGAGCACATTATAAACTCCAAACACGGAAATGCCGGTCAGTTAAAAGGTTCTTAAGGAAGGTGGTAGATGCCTCGAGGCCTAAGGAGCTGAGCTTGGGCCAAAATATTATTCTCCAAGTTGCGTCATATGCCTTCTCAGATCAAAAAATATGGCAATAACTGAGTGTTATTCCGCAAAAGGCATTACTAACATACGTATCCAAGCATATAAGGGGTCTATGATAGAACGTCAGTTAAACGTAAGCCATATGACGAGTGGAGAGACTGTCATGCGTCTCAAATACCCACACTAAACTTCTATTTACCAAGCATCTCCCATCACTTTGCACAACTGCACTGTAAGAGCAATGGACATCGTGGAGGCTTCAAAGTCCCATATCCCGGTTTGCGGAAAGGGAGAACAATGGCAGATTTTCCAAGCTGTGGAAAGAACTTCTTGGGGACCAAATAGATTGCATGCGCAAAAGGACTGCAATGGCTGAACTGCTGTAAATGTTGTAGCATACGAAAATGAAAGTCGTCCGGCCCAGCTGCCGATTATCGGCAAGCTGAGTGTGTTGCCTCCAGCTCTTAAAGAGTAAAAGGCACATTATACTGTTCTTCTCTGAGAGAAGAAAAGTCCAAGGTGCTAACTCTCTGGCAGACTTTGAGGAAAGAAACGAGGGGCATAGATGGAGCCCTTGAGAAATACGGACCAGATGATTGCCAATTTCATTGACAACATCTAGGGTTTGCTATATCAACACCGGCACCCGCAGAACAGGAGCCGGGTCAGGAGAATATTTACCACTCAGTTTTTGTACTTATTTCCAGAATGCACTCGGAGGAAGCTGAGGTGATGGTGGGAGACAATCTCGCCAGCAAGTGCATTTAGAGTCACGGATGACACGGCGAGCGATTGCATGCCTCTGCTTAAAATCAAGAAGTCTCTCCGTGGTTCTATTGAACCGGTACCTGCCCAATGCAGCGCGTTTAAAACGTACTGCACGAGCACAAGCTGGAGATCACCAAGGCACGCATTCTGAGAATGCCTGCCCGAAGTTTGGGGTATAGAATGAGAAGCTGCGGTTAAAACGGAGGACGAGAAGAGGTGTAAAAGCTCATCAATGGAGGACAAAGAAGGAACCTCACTAAAAACAGTTAGTTGTGAGAAGAGGTTCCAATTTGCCAGATCAAATTGCCAGTGTGGGATATGAGGGGAAGTAAGAATGATTGGGAAATGATAGCTGTCATGTAAATCCGGAGAACAGACCAGGTGAAGTCTAATGCAGCAGAGGAAGAGCAGACTGGGAGATCGATGCAAGAGAGAGTGAGTCCGAGATCAAAATGGGTGCGAGTACCTGTATTTAAAACATGGAGGGGTGGGTGCAAGAAAAGCCTCTAACTGAATGCCACGGGAATCACAGTGAAACCCCCAAGGAAATGATGGGAATTAAAATCGCCAAGTAACAGAAGCGGTGGTGGTAATGAGGAAACAAGAAAGGCAATATCCGGAATAGATAATGCCCGAGAAGGAGAGATATAAAGAACAGAGTGTATACCACCTATACAAGTGGATACGGCTGTTGTGTATTGCAGCGAAGTACGAACAAATAGCTGATGGTACAGAATATCAGTGCGTAGAAGGGCACTTTCATTAAAAGTCCCATCAGGAAAGTATCTGAAGAATACAATAAATTATAGCCTGAGATGGGAGAGATAACAGCAGAGTGTAATTTAGGTTCCTGTAAGCAAACATCAACAGGGGAAAACGGAGAGTAAGATCTGAAGCTCACCCCGATTACCCGAGGCCGCGTATATTCCACTGTAAATAGGCCATGATTGGCAATGATAAAGATACCTGAAATCCACAGATAAGGGTTCCTACGGACTAGAGGGTTAGAACAGTCTACATGCGGAGGCAGTGGAAAACTTTCAAGCAGCGAAGGAATGGTGCGCTGTGAAGAAAGGAGTTGCGCCGATGGAGGAGAGGAGAGAGAAGGAACATAGGGTGGATCAGTGGTTCATTGATGGTTTGGTCTCTGCAATATATTCAGAGATTGCTTCAAGTGTTTTGGAATTCAGAGACGTCGTATGGGAGACA